GCTAAATAAAATTCTAGTTTATCTATCACATTTTCTTGATAGACAGCCAGTTGGATACAATTACTTCCCTACTGTACAGATTACTACAATAAACACAGATGATGTGTAACTATCTCTGTGATATGTTGACTTAGAGGTTTAAAAAACAAGTCCTGTCTGCCAAAACAACTGCTACATGATTGCAATAATCAGAATGAGTAAACCAACAGGGTAGTCTACTCTGCCAGGAAACTTTCAACTGAAACAAAACAATGTTTTGTTTGCTGAGATAGAACATTGTTTTAGCTGATAGTTTCAGAGATTTAGCCTGTAGCCCATGAGTCCCATTTCCCCAGGATAGCTAGGAATGCAGCTCAGTATTAAAGTAGTAAACTTGAGTAAGACACTGTGAGGGTATTTTTTAAAACTTTATTGTGATGTTCTTGAGTATAGACTTTGTAGGTGACAATATTGTGTTGCAATGTGAACATGTTAGACATATCCAGCCACTGTAAACAGTTTACTTTGTATCTTCTCAAAATAGAGTTTCTAATATCTTAAATCTAGAGGTACCCTAGGGTAACAAAAGAGCTACTACTTCCCCAGGAGCTATCTAGATCATCACCTTTTCCTGATTTAGCCCAATTATGTCCTTTTAGCATTGCCTGTAACTATTAGCATTCTCTTTCTTTATGGAAGCTATCTGAAAACATTGAAAATAATTTTTAATAAACTAAGTGCTTCCAAATAGTTTTCATGGAACATGTTATTAGAGTGAGTTTTCCTATAGTTTAGTATTCACCTAGAATGTGTTACAGTTATAGAACCATAGTTTGGGACTTATCTTCACTCCTTGGTTGATGGATTCTAATGCTCAGAGACAAAGCATATACCTAAGTTGATGGCTATCGTATAAAGCAGAGTGATTAGAATGGATATATTCATTAACATCTATTGTTATCTCCTTAAAATTAGAAATTTTCTTCCAGTAATTGATGTTATTTCTCATAATTCATAAGCATTTAAAAATAAATATTGTCTGATATAGTTCTGTAAAATCAAATTAGGTGAACTCATAGAAGTAGAATATAGAATGATGGTTTCCTAGGATAGGGTTTGTTAAGGTTAACCCCAAGACAACCCAAAACAAACTAATGACAAATGGATAACTCCAAAAACACAGTTGAGTCTAATCTGAAAACCAGTTTACTTATGGATCTATGAGCCAAGGAAGACCGCTCTTCTCAACATCCACAGAGAACTGGACTCATTGCACAATTTCCCTCACAGCTCTGATTCTTAATATAAATTACAATGAATTAGAACAATGATAAATAACTGATATAACAGCAGACATCCTACATACTGTGCTGTCTTGGGAATGCCACACAATAAGAGTACAAATCTTGACAAATGTTGGACTTCAGTATCATGATTGTAGTTGAAATTCCTAGGTCAAGTTCTGTTACAACATGCCCTGCTGGGAAGCAATCCACAAAGATCACCTGAAAATTTTTACAAATATGGACACTGGGTCCTAGAGCATCTTTCACTCTCATGGATGGAAAGCTTAGATTCATTTCAATCAAAGACAGCATTTACAGGTCGTCAGTTGTTATTCAGAATCATCTTTCAGTCTAATTTGGTATCTTTCTCTCACTCTCATTCTTTGTCATCCTCTCTCCTGTCTTCTTTCCTTCCTCTCTGTGGTTCTTAACCATACATTTTAATTGCCTTTCCTTTCTCTTCCTTTCCATTTCACTTTCTTTCCCTTCATTTTCTGCGTATTTTGCTATACATGGCAGCATACAAGGCCTCCAGTGTCATAGACTCAGCACTCTCTTTCTGTAGATAAATGTTATAATTTATCAGTCAAAACATGTTAGAGGGATTATCCAAAGTTCAAATAGGAAAGGAATACAGGCCTACAGGAAAAATGGACTAGATAAGAGGAGGCTAATGATTTTGCATGTAATGAAGTAAATGTACCCCAAATTTGCATTACATTAATTAATCCCTGAAGTCTCCAACACACTAGAGCTGAGTTTTTCAGACCCTCACTGATGTGCAGGATTAGCTCACAGAACAACTGTCTATTCATTTTGGCATTACCCATTTGCTTTATCTTTTTGACTTCTGCAGATCTATGAGGCTTAAGACTCCACATAAGCATCTTGGCATACCATGTTACAATGGCAGAGGTTAAAGATGGTCTTGTCAGGGTATTATATGTAATGTATGTCTATTATAATTGAGATAATTTCTTCAGATTCCTGGAGTATACCCTTTCACCAGAGTGAAATATTTCAATTTTATCTTCAGTATGCTATTCATTTAAAAATAAATAAACTTTTACATCTCAAATATATTTTAGCTAATGTAATCTAATTACTGGAAAATTTTGGCAACAGGAATCAGTGTACATAATAATAGTTTGTATAAAAATTGCCAAAAATTGTTTGTTAAATATATTTAATAAGAAAAAAGAAAAATCCTTTAGAAAATTATTTTTAATCATATGTAGAAGTATAAAAATTTAGTAAAAATTAAATTGGCTGGTGATCTTAAATTATGGCATGACAGAAAGTACTTCAAGTATAACGTGAAAATATAAAATTAAAATGATTATTATAGCCTTCACTAAATTCTCCTTGAAGTCATTAATCCTCATATTTCAATCAATTTAAGGTACTTAATACTTACACTGAATCATTATACTAAAAAGAGCACTGAAGTTTTTCACAAATGTCTACTGATAAACAGAAAAATCATAAGCAAATGTTTAAAATGTATACATCAAAGTAAATAAAATATTGTGAAATTTTTCCAATATTAAAAATTCATGAACAAAAATTTCTAGATATAAAATATTTTGCTGAATTTCACTGTTGACCAAAAGAATTAATCAATCCTGATTCTAAAGGATTTATAAATTTTGGGTCATTTTGAAGAGGTAATAATGATATTAATTTCTCTTAGGACTTCAGTGAGAGCCTGGCTTTAAACATATTGGCATTACTTTGCTGACATTTTGATCTCTCCTCCTTCAATGCCATGTGGATCATTATATTCTGCCCATCTACTGACTGAAAATGCCAGATAGTTCTTGAATTAGTGTTTTTCCCTCTAAAACTTTCACTCTACTCATCTTCATGCAGCCATATCCTTGTGCTCATTTTGTCTATTTTTGGTGTTCATCATTATTATTAACCACTTTTGTTAATATGTGTCATCATTTATCCTTAAGAAAGCTCAAGAAAAATAAAGAAAATAACTGCTTATAGAGACCTTCAGATACTCAACATGAAGTGCTTGTTATGAAATAGTTACAGAATGATTTTTATCAACTTGATATTTATGTTTTTCTTTGTTGGTTTTTAAACTTACTTTTTTTCTGCAATTACCCATAATGAATGAATTTTGTTCCTGAAGAAATTAGTCTATTTTATAATCTCTTAAAAGTTCTTATAAAACTACCATATGACAAACATAAACAAGACAAATATCCTTTCCTCTCAGATACACACTCTGGACAGGGGAATGAATAATAATGAAGGTTAGATAATAACCAAAAATATTTATACTTTTAAAAGTAATTATTATGAAAGAAAAGTAGTGTCAAGATAGAAAATGCCAGCAGGAGTGGTAGCGGCTTTGGATGGAGTTGTGGAGGAAGGTTTCACTGGAAAACACAGTCTCTTAACCTAGGACTAGAAGCTAGAAACAATGTGAGAAGGATAAGGAAAAATTTCGGGCAGATAGAAGCAAAGACACCTGGGGGAGAAAGGGCTTGAACACCACTAAGGGACCAGGAAAAGACTACACATGTCTGGTACATAGGGAGGGAACGGGAGAGGCGTTCCAGTAGTAAGATAAGTCATCAAAATCTAGAAAAAGGCAAGGAAGTTTCAAAATATTTTTATTGAACTTTTGTACATTTGTAAAATGTACAACTTTTGTACAGTTGTTAAATTTAGACCCTCCCTTCTCCATCCCTGCACCCCACACCCCCAACCAGCTATCATGCATTCTTCCATAAATGTTAAGTCCTATCCAGTTAATCACTGGAACTCAGTTGTCCTTTGGTGCAAGTTCATCCACTGGAGTCTATCAGCATATCTAGAGATCTTAAGAAAGGTTTACTCTCCCTCTCTAGTGGTAGTCAGTCTCCAACATTTCCCAGGCTATGGCTGGCCTGCTTCCCATTTCCCCGTCCACTCTGGGCCCTTGTCTAATTGAGTTGGTATGGGTCTTGTGCTCGATGCCACAGTTGCCTCAACTTCACATGTCCAAGCTTCCAGTGGCCTGAAAGCCTCTGCTTCCCTATGTTCATGGACCATCTCTGGCTTTTACAATCTTTTTGCCCGTTCTTCTGCAATGGTTCCTGAGCTGTGGATAGGTGAGTTGTAATATGGGAGTCCCATCCAGGGATGCACATTCTGTAGTTTCTTATTCTCTAAAACTTAGCTAATTGTGGCCTTCTGTGTGTATCTCACTCTGTTGTATAAGGAGGCTTTTCTGTTGAGAGTTGAGGGATGCACTAGTATTCTCTCTACCCCCTGTTCTACTAAGTTCCATGAGCCTTAGGTGTAGAAGTTCTACTTTAGATATGTCACCTACATCTGGGCACCCTGTGTGACCAATTGGGAACTCTGCAGTAACTTCCATCTGTTGCAAAAAGAAGCTTCTTTGATGAGTGGTGTACAATATACTTGTCTATAAATATAATTGTTCATATTTAGCATATGGTAAGAAATTTCATTTGTGAGAGATGTGACAGAGATAGGGTTTTCTCTAAGGATCTCTGACCTCCACAGCCTTGGCTATAATTATACTGCAACCCATGAGTTGACTCCCATTCAGAGGGTTTTAAATCCAGTTAATTATGTTGATTAACCTCCAGATAACATTGCCACTACTGCCCCAATAGAGGTAGTTTGCTGTGCCAGTCATTATGGTTACTAGACTTTGGAGCTGTGTGGTTGAACCATTGATTGATTTTCTACCTTAGCAGCTTGCAGTTACCAGCCAACTGAAGCTGCCTGTGTCATCCAAAGTTTCTTCATGCAGTTTTTCACCTCTGCATTCCTCAGTGTATAGATTAGAGGATTCAACAAGGGTGTGATGATTGAATCAGATAAAGCCATCACCTTGTCTATGGGATAGGTAGCCACAGGTCTTACATACAAGAAAATACAAGGCATGAAGAACAGTAAAACTACTATGAGGTGGGAGCTACAGGTGGAGAGGGCTTTGTGTCGCCCTTCAGAGTTATGAGACTTCAGAGAACAGAGAATGATTATGTACGAGGCAATTAGAATGAGGAAGATGGCCACACACATCACTCCACTGTTGAGGATGACCAAGAGACCCAAGATGTGGGTATCCATGCAGGCCAGTGTTAGTAATGGAAACAAATCACACACAAAGTGATCTATGACATTTGGGCCACAGAAAGGTATTTGATACATAAAAAGAAGCTGAATGGTTGCATGTGCAAAGCCTCCCACCAAAGCCCCTCCCAGAAGCAGACAACACATCCGAGGACACATGATGGTCATGTAGTGTAGGGGCTTACAGATGGCCACATAGCGGTCATAGGCCATCACAATGAGAAGGATGATCCCCACACCTCCAAAACAATGTTCTGCGAAGAGCTGGATCATGCAGCCTTCAAAGGAGATGGTAGTATCCTCAGAGAGGGAGTCCACAATCAACTTTGGGACAATGACAGAAGAATAGGTGACATCAAAAAGGGACAAGAAAGTGAGGAAAAAGTACATAGGTGACCTCAAACTCTGACTTGTCATCATGGTTATGATGATTATTATGTTTCCCAACAACATGAAAACATACATGATTAAAATCACAGCGGAAAGTAGTTTCCGCAGCTCTGGATTTGCTGTAAGACCCAAAAGAATGAACTCAGTCACATTGCTTTGATTTCCCATTAATTTTGTGCTTACATGAAAGATTGGAAACCTGTAAAAGCAATAAATGATTTATAATTAGTGCTTGGTTGGTTTCAGGTAGTTTGAAATTTCAAGGAATTTATTTTTTGACATAGTCATATATTTACCACCTGAAGTTTTGATGTTTAAGAAAATGCAGCATGTGTTTACATAAAAAATCTAAAGAAAGGTAATTAATTCCGGGCTTGTCTATGTCTTTTGTCCTATCTTAGTAACATTTTTCCTTATTAAATGTATTTCTACCCTTCTATTTGCTGACGTTATGATTGTTTTTATTGATGTGCATATTTTGAGAATGCATATTATTCTAAGCTCTTAAATGACCCAATGATTTGATTTAATTTTCAAGATAAAAACTCTGTGGTTTGGTTTAATAAACTTAATCAAAACTAATACGTTGTAAAGCTAGCACATACACAATACTTCTGGAATTTAGATGATATTTTCAACTATTATTGTTGCTTCCATAATAAATCTTTTTGTGAGCTTGTCATTTACCATCACTGTGTTAGAAATGGGCAGTGCAATTATCTTCTTTTAAATTTAAAACAATGCAGCAAAATGAGAAATGCTCTTTATAAAAGAATGATACTGCATTTGTAATTTTTTCCTCTATTTTATAAAAGAACACCATGAACCTAAGACTAATGATGATATAATTTGTCACTAAAAAGATTGGTCAGCAATTATAATTATAAATCATGAAGGTCATACTAAGATTCACCTACACTATAACTGACTTGAGTAAGAATAAAGTCTTCTTTCCTTTCTGCCTCCTCTGCTTCCTAAATCGAGCCAAATGGAGCCAAATGGCTATCTTTAATGTTGACTAACTATATTGCTGGTCACTCTAATAGATTAATTATTTCATTTGGATCTGTTCTTACAGTACAGTGTGGTGGCACCTCCTGTCTTAGCTTGCTTTATAGTGCTATATTAAAACACCTTGATCAAAAAGAACTTGTGGAGGAAAGGAATTATTGCATCTTACACTTCCAAGTGGCAATTCATCTTTGAGGGAAGTGAAGCAGGAACTCTGGGTAAGATCCTGGAGGCGGCAACCCTAGGAATGCAGCTGGATCTTCCTAAAGAATGCAGTTGTTCAATCAGATTTCTTATAAAACCCAGCATGACCTGATCAGTAGTGGCACTAAGCATAGTGGCCTGGGACCTCCTATATCACTTAAACAAACAAACAAGGCTCATGGACATATCCATAAGGCAATCCAAAAGAGGAAATCCCCCATTTGAGGTTACCTCTTCCAAGGTGTTCCATGTTAATAACCAGCACAGCCATGACAATGCCATTAGTTGCTGCACTGAGATGGAGGTAGTGTTATCAGTTTAGGACTATCTTTGACTGTATAGAAAGTTCAAGGTCAGTTTGAGAGTAAAATGTTTCTCAAAAAAAAAAAAAGGAACAAATGTAGATCTCTATGCAATCCTCACTGCTACACAACTATAACCAATAAAAGGCTGGGGAAATTTTCTGATCCTACATCATTGAAGTGGGTGCAATTACACTCCTTATTGTTAAAAGAAAGGAACTAAAACCTTAGGAAGTTCCATTTCTTGCATGAAGTTCAATAAAATTTCTTTGTGGAATAAGTTTAAGTTTTCACCTACTATCTTACACTACCAGAGAAAAGAAGTAGTGCTTATGTATTATTTCAAGGGAGATTACTTGCACTGAACAGAGAAAAAAAAATAACCACAGTACAAATGCGCCTTATATTACAGGGCACGTTTTAGTATTGTCTCACTGATCTGTTTTAAGAAGTTGACAAGAAACATGTCTTTTGAAGGGAAATTTAGAGTATATCATGCTGTGAGTGGCATGAGATCACTCTTGATATCCTGTAGTCAACCACACCCTGACCTTCCACAAGTACAGAATGATCACAGACTGTGAAAGATCGTATATCATTCAACCTCTCCCTTTGCCTCCTGATACAAAAATGAAGATTTTTCTTACATCAGCCTGACTAACATCCAAAACGCTGATACAGATTTCAGGGAAAGGGATGTGGATTTTATCCCAGGTAGCCTCTCTAACATCATTCATGCACTAACGTCATCATACACTGCTGCATCACTAAGCCTCAGTTTCCCAATTTACTGGAAATGGTCAGCTCACTGGACTAGTAGCTGTAGGAGTGGCTCTGGTCTCTGCAAATATAAGCTTCTACATTTTAATTACATTAATTATTTAAGTTTCTGTATCAAATATCCTTAGAAGGATGGTTTAATTTTAAATGTTTTGAAAGTTAATTACCTATGCCTGTCTCCTTAAGGCTTAAAAGACAGAGGGACTCAAAATTGGCAGAAAAGAAAATTGTACCTTTACAGCAGATATTCACTTCCATTCTTGCACCTCTCCTTTCCCTCCCTCCGTCCCTCCTTCCCTCCCCCCATTTTCTCCTTCCTTCCTTCCTTCCTTCCTTCCTTCCTTCCTTCCTTCCTTCCTTCCTTTCATTTTCTTGGGTACCACATTTTATTTTTTCCACATCAAACCCATCTACTTTCTCACAGACTCATATCTTGTTTGTTTCTACCCTTGACTTTTCACTTCTCAGGTAATGTCACTGGTTCCAGAAAGCACAAACCTAGCTCAAATTCCAGCCATGCTCTAGTGAAAGCGCTTTGTAACCTCCCACTTCCCATGCCTCAAATTCTGCAGCATTGTAATTAATAAATGAGAAACCACAGCAAACATGTTCAAACAGCTTGCTAACTATGGGAAACATGCAAAGGGTCATTCTTCATTTAGCCATCATAAAGAACTATACGAAATAGTGTGATTTTCTGGATTTTCCAGGCAGAAACAGAGGCTAATATAAATTATGCTACTTATACAGCTTTCTCTATAGGCATGTAATTTCAAAGCATAAGATACATGTTTCTATGCTTTAACTTTGCTATTTTCATCTCCTGTATCACACAACTGCAAGGAAAGTCAAAAGAGATATGTTTATAAAGTTTTTTGCTCAACATGACATCATGTTATCGCCCCCACTGCCTGTCCATGTTCTCATTCAGACAATTATCAACACCCTCTGTCAGCTTTAGACACCTGAATATATCTCATATATTTATAAAATGTTGTATGTGTGTCGTTACTTCATAATACTGCTAGCTATTTCATTCCCATGTCTCAAACTTCTTTTTTTAAAAAAAGCAATAAGGATAAAATTGGTGACAACACAGTCCAAGACGTTATCAGCTGGGAGGAAATTTCAGTGGACTGAGAAGTCCAGGTAGTTCTGGCACTAGCCCATTTTCCAGGTTTTGACGTAAACCTGTTTTGAGAATGTGGTAGCCATTTCTTCACCAATCAGCTTCACTTACAGCATTAACTGACTACTATATTTTATCATTTGTCTTTATAAATATTCTTAAACCAAATGTTACGGTGGACTTCCAGTTCAGTGTTGAATGGCAATGTCAGCTGTTTTTGTGATATTTCCTTTCCCTGTGTATCAGGAGGTATTACTTTTTAAAAGGCCATTTCAGTAAAGACAAGGGCCATTAATGCTCTAATTTTTATTTGTAGTCCACTTGCTTCACTTTCAGGATTTATAAAGACAAAGAGCATTCCTAGATTTTCTTATTGTGGATTATTAACTTAGGTGAGAACAAGATAAAATAATGCCAATAATCACTGAAATGAAGAAATTAAAACCCGTGACTTAAAAATTAAGCTAGACTATGTTAAGGAGAAACAAAAGACTGGCAATGATTACAAGCAGAGGGAAAAGCATGAGCAAAGGCCCAGAGGAGGAAGAAGGGACATGTTGTAGCATAGATAGAAAACAATGGCTTTGAGTTGTAAATGTGAGAGTCTAAGGTTGACCTCTGCAATACTTCTCAAATGTATGATTAGTCAAAATTAATGTATTCTTTCACATGTGCATTTATTTAGAAATATTTAACTTGAAACATAACTATGACATTATGAATCAGCACATAATATCAAATAAATTCTATAGTTTACATTTTATGAATATCATTTAATTTTAGATATCATTTGCTCCTTATATGTAAAAATTTGTTATTTTAGTTTTTCATGATTTACAAAACACTTCAGTTAATATATTTGCATGCTTTATATATGTATGTACAATAAACACATATACAAGCATCTATTGAATAATTTTGACTTAAGTATTTCTGTAATTTTATACAATAAAATTGGAGAACTGAGAGTATGGACATATTGAGTGTGAACAGGCATTGATCTAGTCTCCTTCCAAAGCATTTATTCTCATCAATAATATTGTAATGTTCTTTTTTGTGCTGTTTTATTACTTCCATTTATTTTTTTTAACTTATTATTCTTCCTTTATTTATTTTTGCTTTCTTTAGCCTGGATTGGCCTTGATCTTGTAGAAATGTACTTGTTTCTGCCACCTATGTGCTAGAATTAAAGGCATGTGCCACAACACCCACCAAAAATTTTATTATTACCTTTATTTTATGTTTACCTTTATTTTCTTAAAGTCATGCACTATATATTACAAAATCATTTATATATTTTAGCAAATATTTAATTTATTAGGTAAAATGGTTTGAAAATTGTGTTTCCTCTAAGCAGACTAACTTATTCTTCCAAAATAATCTTAATGAAAACTTTTAACATTTATTTGTCATAGCAAATTATTTATCTCATCCCCAAGGTAAAAGCATTAGGGTGCACTGCAGTGAATTTTAATTCTAGGAATTTGGCTGTGCATATTATTTATTTCTCAATTAACTTAGATTGTGTGTGTGTAATAATTTTGTTCCACTTAAAATGTGAGTACCTAGAGAAAATGCTAGGTCTTGGTAGCACTGTAGTCTTTGAAGTAGAAATGTCATTGAAAAAAAAATTTTTTTTTAATCCCCCTAATATGGGCTGGAGAAACAATTCTTTTCAAACCCTACCACCCACATGGCGAGTAACAACCATCTACAACTCCAGTTCCAGGGTGATCTGATGC